GCCCGGCGCAGCAGCTCCAGCCCCATGGTCCCAATACGGCATTTCTGAGCAAGCATTCAAGGCGCGCACGAGATTCCACTATTGCCTATGGTGCAACAACGATCTCCATGAGACACTGGCCTGCCCATTGAAAGGCAAGGGCAAATAGGGAAACTGAGCACATCCGAGTGACTCAACGACACTCTCGACGCCTCCGGAACCGGTCTCTTCGCGAGTGGCCGGCCTTCATTCCGAGGCGCATGCGGAAGTCGATAGTCCTCCTCTTCTCTATTCTTTTGAGGACTATGTTGCCCGGCTTGTTCCTACGCTGGGTACTCAAGCTCAAGGACAAGACGTGTGTGCGGCATCTTCTCCGTCCGGCAGCGGCGACTTATCGTCTTCAAGTGGTTCTTCAAGGGATTCGGCGCGCGAGTTCAACGTAGAGGTATTGGACCCGCTCACGTCCGAGGACTTCGCATGGCTTCCTCTCCCGACCACGAGCCGCCTGCCGGGACCGCAATGCGCAGCATTATGCGCTCATCTCCACACATACTTATCCTTCTATGCACCACCAACTTTGCCGACGGATGACGAAGTAGTGGTGGGGGACATCCTTGCGTATGTTACCAAGGTGGCCCGCGAGTTTCGCACGCAGCGGTACGATGACAACAATGCACCGCTCAAGTATGTCCGCATCCAGGTTGGGCAAGCGTCCTGTAGCGCTTTGCTGGATAGCAGCGCGTCTTGCAATTTCATGAGCCAAGCCTTTATGCAAAGGGCTGGCCTTGGCGCACAAGTTCGGAGGAAGGCAAACCTGACAGCGATCAAGTTGGCGGATGGAAAGATGCAGCAACTGCTCGACCGTTACATCGAAGCCGTACTGGTGTATTTCGCACCTCATGCATGCGAACCGGTGACGTTCGACATTTTGGACACGGACTTCGACATCATTCTGGGAATGCCTTGGCTTGCAAGTGCGGATCACATGAACAACTTCCACCGGCGGACTCTTAGCGTTCACGACGCCTTCGGCGCCGAAGTGGCGTGTACTATTCCTCTACTGCACCCTTCGATTCGGGCCAAGTGGTGACGACCCAATCATTCCGGGCGACTTGCGCTTACAAGCAGCCCAAGGAGATCGGCCTATGTTTCCTACGGACCGTCGCAGTAGCCGACTCTTCACCCACAGACTTGTCTTCATACCCCCGGGTGGTGCGGTTGCTGGACAAGTTCGCCGACATTTTCGAGTCACCTACCGGTGTGGTGTCGGATCGACCGATCTCTCACGAGATCATTCTTGAGGCCGGTGCCGTGCCGCCAAAAGGTTGCATCTATCGGATGAACGAGGAGGAGCTTGAGGTCCTCCGCGCACAACTTGACGATTTGTTGGCCAAGGGCTGGATCCGCCCTAGTAGCTCCCCATATGGAGCACCAGTTCTCTTCGTCCGGAAGAAGAACAAGGATCTACGATTGTGTATCGATTACCGCAAGCTCAACGCGCAAACTGTCAAGAATGTGGGGCCTCTTCCTCGCATCGGCGATCTTCTTTAGCGATTGGGCGGCGCAACGTATTTTTCTAAGTTGGATTTGAAATCGGGATATCATCAAATCTCGATCCGGCCGAATGATCGCTACAAATCCGCGTTCAAGACGCGGTACGGGCATTTTGAGTGGGTGGTCATGCCTTTTGGCCTGACCAACACCCCGGCGACCTTTCAAGCGGCAATGACCAACGAGTTTCGTGCAATGTTGGACCCGTTCGTGCTGGTCTACTTAGACGATATTCTCGAGCCGGACATTGGAGGATCATCTTGGGCATCTTCAACGAGTGTTGGAGACGCTCCGCCACGCCGAGTACAAGGCCAACCGCGACAAGTGCGAATTTGTCCGGCAAGAGCTGGAATACTTGGGCCATTTTGTCACACCGGAGGGCATCAGTCCGCTATCGGAAAAGATTCAAGTCATCCAAGAGTGGTCGGAGCCTCGAAACGTCACGGTTGTCCGTTCGTTCCTTGGCCTCGCCGGCTACTATCAGCGTTTCATCAAAGGCTACTCGAAGATCGCGGCCTACTTGACCAAGCTTCCATGTGAGGATCGGCCGTTTGACTTCGGAGAGGAGGCGCGGGAATCATTTTTGGCTCTCAAAGCCGCGTTATTATCTGCGGAGGTCTTGCGCATATACGACCCGCTTTTGCCTACACACGTCACTGCGGATGCGTCCGGCTATGGCATTGGTGTCGTCCTCGAGCAACACGATGGCGTGGACTGGCACCCGGTCGAGTATTTCAGCAAGAAAGTGCCGGTCGTGCACTCCATTGACGATGCACGTCAAAAGGAGCTCCTCGCCTTCGTCCACGCACTCAAGCGGTGGTGGCATTTCCTCCTTGGTCGAAGCCAATTCCGATGGGTAACGGACAACAATCCGTTGGTCTTTTACAAGACCCAAGACACCGTCAACAACACCATCGCTCGATGGATGGCTTTCATCGACCAGTTCGACTTCTTTCCCGATCACATTCCGGGGAAGTCAAACTGTTTTGCGAATGCTCTTTCACGGCGTCTGGATCATTGTACCGTGGTCTACTCAACCTTTGAGATCGACGATGACCTGCGGAACAGCTTCATCCGCGGCTACCAAGCCGACCCCGAGTTTCCCGACAAGTACGCGAATTGCTCCTCTCCTAATCCGGCGCCTTCTCACTACCGGATCCAAGAGGGGTACTTGCTTGTCCACACACGGGGGAAGGACCTTCTTTGCGTACCGAGTGATCCTCACTTGCGTACACGGCTTCTTGGCGAGTTCCACGGCTTCTTGGAGTTTTGTGCCCATTTGTTCAGCAGTAGACTGCCACAGTTAACTCGTGAATCTTACATTCCTATCACTAACAATAGACGTAGGTAGACCGAAATCCCTTACCCAGTTGTCCATGAAGAGTTTGATGACAAAGTCAGTTTTAGCACTTCCAGGCATAGCGATTAGTCTTGCAAATCCATGGACATACTTTGGCCTGGTCCTTCAGGAATCGGCAAGGGCTTGATCAGCCCAAGCGGGGCCTGAGTCCTTGGTTTGTCCCTTTGACTAACCTGGCAGGTTTCAACATAGCGTTTCACATCTTCCATCATAGAGGGCCACCAGAATCTCTGCACTAAGCTCGCTGATGTCTTCCTATAGCCAACATGACCAGTTGCATCATGACATTCTCCTAAAAATAAACTACATAAAGACTCACTATTAGCAACACATAGTCTTTTATTCCCTGCCTTCTCGAGAAACAGCAAGCCATCTACCATCGTATATTTGTCCAAAGTCTTTTTGTCCTTTGATTGGAATCTACGGATGATCTCTGGCATAACTGGATCTCCCTGATAGGCTTCCACCAGCGATCGAGTGAGTTCGTCAGATATGCCGAACTCAGTGACTAGCGCGCCCAAATAGTCTGCTCTTCGCGATAGTGCATCAACCACTTTGTTATACGTACCCTTGATAGGATCAAGTTGATAGTCATACATGTCTATCACTTGAATCCATCTTTTGAGTGCGTCAGATAGTACAGGCTGTGTCTTAATCCAGCGCAAAGTCTCATGGTCAGACCTCACATAGAAGAATCTTCCTAGGAGGTAGTGTCTCCAATGAACTAGCGCTCTGTACAGGGCGTAGAGCTCTCTCTCATATGTGGACTTAGCTAACTTCTGAGAAGGCATCTTTTTACTTATGTACTCGACCGGTCTCAACTTTGGCCCCTCCTGTTGTGCAAGGACCGCGCCTAATACATATTGGCTGGCGTCTGTGGTCACAACAAACGGCTTGAGAACTTCATAGTGTGTTAGAGCATACTTCAATTTCTTGAAGCTTGCCTCAAACTCTTCAGTCCACTCCCAAGGGGTGTCAAGTCGAGTTAGATCTGTTAATGGGGAGGCTACCATACTATAGTTTTTGACGAAAGGACAATAATAGCCTGTCATTCCCAAAAACGATCTGACCTCAGTAACGGTCTGAGGTCTAGGCCAGAAAAACTAAGTACATGCCCTCCTCGCGATTCTGTTTATAGTAGTTATAGAAAGAGGAGGCACACATGCAACCGTAGTTTTCCACTAGACTGCTAGCTTTATACTTTTGCAGCCCAACGGTCCTACCATTTGGAAGCTTGTGTATCAACAACTTTCTATCCCCATCAAACTGAGGTTGAGAAACCTCGAGGTAGTACATGCCTAATAGCATATCAAAGGGCAGTTCGTCGCTAACCAAGAAGTAGATCTTGTGGCTCACTTCCCCTCCTCCATAGGAGAAGGTGCAGACTACGTCCTTGACATAATCCTTGACTACCATTTGGTGCTTGTTGGCTAGCGTAGAAGCTACAGTTCTGCTAAGCCGCTGCACTTGGTCCCCTAAGGGCAGTCTATCCACACAAGCACGACTGATGAAGTTCCATGTAGAGCCTATGTCTGCGAAGGCGCCAACCTTGCGGCCACCTACATCAACCTCTACCACGAAATGTTCACCCTTTGGACCTCTACTGATCATCGCCCAAGAGTCCGTGGGGTCCTTCCCTGACCACTCAGTCTCTAACTCTTCTAGGGCCTCAGACACATCTCTCGAACAGAGCGTCGGTGGGTCTGAATGTGTCTGCGGGGCGATGTGTGGGTCACTAGCCTTGGCCAACGCCTGAAGTGGGGAAGGCAACGCAACCACTTCAGCGCGAGTAAGAGCGGCTAACACTCCTACTGACCCGAGGAGTTTCTCTACGAAGTGCTCGCAGAAGCACTGCCAGAGTTCGAAGATAAGCCCACCACTGTTGGTGATGCTACCTTCGTTGTGACCTTCTTGCCTCTGCATGCTCGTGACGTGTGACCATAATTGCCACAGTTCATGCACGTACCCCTGGCGACTCGGTCCCTCCACACCTGGTAGTCTAAACCAATTTTCACCCATGCGGGTATCATCATCCCATCTTATATATATGGGATGTTTGGCGTGCAGTCGTTGAGGCTTCACGGTCTTAGACTTCCTTCCCTGCTGATTGTCCGCACTGACGCATTCATTATTGGATACTCGGTGGAGGTTTCAACATATAGCCAGATTTGCCTTTAACATTACTGTGTAAGCGCCCCAAATAAGGCATCCGCCCCAGATAAACTACCCACCATGCAAGGGTGACCCGTGGACCGTACTACCTTCTTCTTCCTGGTCCCCCTAGCATTTTCTTTGATAGGCGCCACAACTCCCCCATCCGAAGTCTCACTGGCCCCATCCTGCTCTATCACCTCCCCAAGGTCTGGGAAATCGTCAATCTCCGTCGTTTGACCATCGTGGTCAACGAACATTAACTGACCCTTCTTCTTCCAGTCCTGGGGGAGTCTCTTCCTACCATCATGAGACACCTGATGCGCGGATCCCAGCTTGGCCTCTATATCTAAGGCCTTCGTGCTGAATGTAGCAAAGCTGTGTTGGTCTATGTAGGCTTCGTCCACCAGTTTCGTCCCGACTTCTGATGGAAGACATCTCAAATAATCCGTGAGGAGTACTTGAGGGTCAAAGCGCACACCAGGTACTACGATCAGACGTTCTACAACGTCTGTGACTTCGTGAACATTCTTGTACTTTTTGGCACAAAGATGATTGATCGCGTTGGTGGCCTTCTGAGCCCCTTGAGGGTCATGCCACCTCTTGTACACAGTCTCTACGAAATGTTCCAATGTCTGGGTCTGTGCCCATGCATCGAAGTCCTGACCATAGCCCTGCTGCTGCACTAACCCGTTCAACCAACGTGTTGCCGATCCTTCTAAAAAGGACGCAGCAACTACAACCTCCTGCTCTGACCTTGTAAGCTTATGCCTCACATATGTAGGCACAGTTCTTACCCAGGTGTCCAGATCCTCATCCTTCTTCCTGTCTCCAGAAAAAGGTTTAGGACTCAGCAGAGGAATCTTGGGCATCCACTGCATAGGCTGCATGGGCCCAGGGGCTTGCTGCAACGGCTGCATAGCCACTGAAATAGGTTGTTGCACACTAACCTGGGCCTGGCTTGACAGTGGGACTGTAGTGACCACTGTCGTAGATGGTACGACTGAGACTCTATGAACCTGACCACTAGTTGCTACTAAACCACCTAGAGGGGGAATGCCAAACATAGGAGGGAAAGATGGCCTTGTGGGTTGCGGCATCGATGAAGGACCCGCACGCGTAGAGGGAGCTACAGCAAACTGCGGCTGCCTCATTACTTTACGAGGAACCCGAAGTTCAGCCAGGATTTGTTTCTGGCCTGCCACAAATTCGGTCAGCAATTCCTGCTGGACATTCTGCGCTTCTGCCACTGATAGTAAAGCACTACGCAACACACGAACAGTAGGGTCTAATGCCGCCTCATCTAGCCCTTCTAGTTTGCCTAGCTCCTGCACTCTTCTTCCTAGTCTAGCCTTTCTGAGTATTGCTCTTCTTCTCCTCTCTGCTGCTTCGTCCAACTGCCGCTGCAGATCATCCTGAAGTTCTTCCGCCTGTCGGATTTCTAAATCCTCCGGTGTGAGTGGACTCTGCTGGCTGACTTGCAAACCAGCAGACTGACTAACTGCACCTGATCCACCCTGCCCTTCTCCTGACGAAGAAGACAGGGAAGAGGTTTGTGACGTAGAGGCAGCGGTAGCCATCGCAGCCGCTAAGCTGGCTGCTGCGTCCCTAATCCTCCTCGGTGCTACCCGCTCCCTTGCTTCCCTTCGTAGTCTCCTTTCCTCCCCAGGAGCTAACTCATGGAAAGTGATTGGTTGACTAAGAGCGGTTCGCCGTGTGATCCTAAGCGGTTGCACTAGCCTTCCCTCCTCCTCACTGCTGTCTTCACTCATGCGCTACAGTGTGTGTGATCTAAACTAGAATCCACACTGAATCCTACCTTAGCATGACACACAACCGCATATGATACATAATTGTTTTCGGCCGGCCTGAACAAAACAGTTAGATGATGTGGTTACAACTAATGTCAGGTCCTACAGGAAATATCAGATCTATTTTTAGATTACCCTAGAACAGATTGCAATACAACAAAGATCTAATTTGTCTGCAGTTGTCTGTCGGTTGTTAGTCAAGTTTGTAACAACTAGATAATCAAAATAAAAAATAATATCTCATGTTGGAGATGTATGCTTGATGGCAGATTATCTGTTGATTGCAACTGCGAACAGTTACCGGAATTCCCCCTCCCCCTGTGTCCTTCTTGATTGGTCGCTTTGTGTCAACGTCCTGAGCATCTAGTTGAGCAGCGTGTCTAAAGGTGTGCAATCCAGCCCACCCTTGTGCCCTAAGTCATTGCCGAACTTGCCAGCCCCTGCACATTATTTACCCTCGCATGCAACGAGCCTTACACCCGGTTTGATCTGGCTGATCAGGAGGGATCTAAGGAGAGGCCCCATCTCCTCAGGAATTATTTAACGTCGCAGACAGGACGACGATCACAGCCAGGTTCAACACCGAGTCCCCAGCCAGAAATATTTAAAGACGGTCTGGAAAGCGTCTGTCCCAAAGGGCTGGCATGCCTTGCACGATCTTTATTGCGCAAGCAGCGGAACCAAAGAGTTGTTGCAAAGCATGTGTGTACTAGTCCCAGCGGGTTGGCATGGTGACTGTGACCCGAGTGCTTCGTCGAGGACCCTTCAGAGGCTTCGCCCGTCTCCCACCAGCTTGCTGCCCAAGAAGAATGTCGACTCTCAAGGTTGAGCGCTCGCGACACCCACATTGAGAGGACTCTCAAGACATAACTCACTTTCTCACGGTAAGAAGCAATGAAGAGGGTAGATAAGGAAGAGAGCAACGTACCTCATAATGCTGGCCCCAACCACAGAGTTCTCACCGGCAACCTGATGTGCATTTATGATGACCGGTCTTTGCCTCGGCACAACCAACAGCAGAATGCAGTTCCACCTTGGCTTAATATGTCACATCAGCGAGCTCTCATCATCCAACATACACCCCGTATGTCACCACATAGCTCCCTGGTGCGCCCACACTACCCTGGGCCGCCTAATGTTCAACGCCAATGCCTTATCACTGCCCCACACCTCATGCGAAGCACCAATAGCTATTGCGAAGAACCAATGAAGCGCAATATGAACCAGCTCCGATACCAACTTGCAAGGAAAATAAGCAACAGCGAGATGACAATTCCAGATTACACCATCACATTGAAAGCCAGATAGTCACACCGTGTCCAGAGAGCAGCATTGCACCAATAATACACCAATGGAGGTTCATAGCACTGAAAACCAATGTCATGGAGAGCATACTCTCTCCTCATCAACACAAGAGTCAAGTCCCTTCACTCTCCTACTTAGCGCTCAGCGCCCAGCCTACTCCTAACACAGATACTACAGCCTACTAATTGACAATGCAACTGTTGACATCAGCAGCAACCCGAAGTACTTGAAGATGTCGCCCATGCAGCCCATCGCCAATACAAGGTAAGTGCCCTCACATCATCATCATCATCATCCTTCACCTATCCCCGACTTTACTCCCACGTCTGTCCTCTCTTACACCCGAAGACCACCCCTGGGCCTCACTGTACATCCAAGCCCAGCCTGCTATGAATGCTGGCTATGGCGCTGCCCTCAGCAGCGCCCTGCTCCACCACACGACCGCACGTGCGCAGCCTCTTGCTCCCAATGCCAGCAGCCAGCCCGTGAGCTATCACTCCAGCAGCGCTGCCGCCAGCCAGCAAGTGACCGAATGAGGCTGCAAGGGGAGAGCTCTTTCCTTTATGGAAAGAGCTGGCCTGCTCGCGCAGCCTGGCTGCACTGGCCTGGGCCCAGAAGCTTCCGGAAGACCCCAGGAGGCTGCCTGTGTACAGCAGCTACTGGGCTGCTGGGCCTCGTTCAGTTGGGCACCCAACTGTCTCTGTATGAGGCTGCGAATCACGCCCAGGGCCTGCATTCTTTGGAAAAGCCCGGAAGGCCGTGGAAATGTCTTTGTTGCCCGGCCTGAGTTTCTCTCAACCAACTGGCGCGTCGCAACTGCCTGGACCCCAAATATGAAATTGATAGTCGAGGGCCTCTTGCGATATGTCAGGCCCGCCTTCACTTAGGGCGGGCACCTCCGCCTTCACTTAGGGTGGGCAATGCTGTAAACAGGGCCCCATAGGCCTACCAAGGACCCTGATCCTCACACATTCCTCACCACTTCCAGAAAGGAGTTAGCCAAGAGAAGACAAGGGCAAAGGAGAGCAACATGAGCAGAAGGTAGGAGGACAAAATTGCAAAAGCATTAGTCCAGAAAGAAGAGTAGTAGGGGAGGCGGGAGGAGGAGGAGGAGGAGGAGGAGGGGACACGAGTGGGGAGATAGAAAGGGAAGGGGGACAGGAAGGGTGCAGACAGAAGTTGCATGTTCGTTTTTTTTTTTTTTTTTTGGACCATTTCACGGTTTATGGTGTCATCCTCGTGCACGGGGGATGTCGATTTTCTCTACATAGATCCAATTTTAACAGATGTTGCAAAGGGCACTTACTTGCAGGGGCAGAGAAAGCCTGCCCTTATCTCATCTTCTCTGCTTCCTCCTCCTCGCTCTCTGCGTTTTCCCCTGTCCCCCCTTACCTCGAAATCGCACTTTACCCCAAATGCAAGGAATACGAGTGTGATATACATAAAACCAAGTTGCGAAATCACACAGATGAACAAGTAGTCGTGTCCCAAGCAGAGCGTACAAATGCACCGAGAAAACCATCCATATAGAGCAATACAAAGAAGTAATGAGCCAATGTCCAAGCCCGTAGGCCACGCCAACACAGTATCCAAAGTCGCTCTCTGCTGTCTGGCGCTCGGCGCCCAGCCTACTCTACCTGACTAGACTGCAATGACTTGCTGATTCTGACTGCCGAGACTAACTGCGAGGCTGTACAGTACAGTAGTAGGATAGATTCGTAATTTTGATTGGCTGAGGGCTAAACCCGAGAGACCTACCTGTAAGGAAATTCGTGAGGGACATATCTGCAAATATGGGGAAAATAGGCCCAGCAGTATTTCGATTTTCCTACAGCTAACAGGCCCGGGCTACCCCTAGGACAGACAGGCCCTAAGGGCCTAAGCTGATAGACGGTCCTATAGCCTATAGCCGAGTCCGGTAGAGGCCGAGAGGCCGAAACCGAAACGGTACCGGTCGGTCAGTCAGCCCGGTCTAGGTCTAGGCTAGAGTAGTAGAGTCTATTAATAGTTTAGGGGAATCGGGTTGGGACTTTTGGCAGTTCATTTTCGCGATACAGCGTTTGGAGCCAAGGAGGTCTGCAACGGCGATTGCCTGCAGGCGGTACCCTGAGACCCTCACCGTGGACAGCAGCCATAGCCAGCCTGCTGAGGGCTTGCCATAGCTGGGGCATCCCCTGCGCATCAACC